TTTTATTAAAATGTAATTCTGCCAGCCCATTTCTACAAACAAATATTATATTTTTAATTGTGTTGGGATTGTCACCTGTGGACATTTTAAACTGTTTTACATATTTGTGCAGAGGCATAGCCTCTAAAGAAAGGTTGTCTCTGCAATGGAAATAGTTGTTCCTGGTGATTGGACATGGCAAGCAAAATTGGACTCGTATCCAGATGTATTTTATTTTTTATGAAATAACTTGACTTCCAGTTTGTTTTAGAAGTTCATATATAGTTAATCAGGGATTCCTGCCCCTAATATTTCCATATCTGATTTCATCTTTCATCTATCTAACTTCATTCTCAAGATTAAGGACAGACAGGCAACAGTGAAAATTTATAGATCTACAATTTTTTCAAATTGCTGCTCAGTAATATTTTATAAATATTTTATTAAAAAATTTATTTTATTTTTAAATATTTGACAATATACAATGGCCATCTTCAGATTCTAAAATGGAATTAATGAATAGAACAGGAAGCATATTGCGTTTTCCGTTCTATTCAATAATTCCATTTTAGAACCTGAAGATGGCCATTGTACAGTACACAGAATATTTATTATCAGTTTTATATGTTTTTGACTATGTTTACTTGGCAATATATGCAATAAAAAAAAGCAAACAATGAAATTCATTGACATCATGATGGAAGGAATATTAAATATATATAGTTATCAATTAACAAAATAAGTGTAGTTTTCAAACCTGTTCAAGGTTTCTATAGATGAATTAGCCATTTCACACTTTTTTAAATATACAGGTAACCCCCGTATAACACGGTAGTTATGTTCCAAAAAATTGCCGTATTATGCGAATCAAAGAACTAGTACGAAAAGGAGGGTTAGGTTCCAAAAATTAAAAACATGCTACTATATTTTTATAATTAAGATAAATATCTTTATTAAAAGTTTTTTAAGTGATACATATTAATATAAATTAAACAATGTTTTCTTTGTCATCACTAAAAGCACTAGTAACCGAGAGCTTTTTATTTTTGGCAAGTTATCGTTATCCTCTGAGCATTTTTCTGCATTATTTTCAGATTCATGCTTTATCTTTTGCAAAAAGTGTATGTAATTTTAGATTGCTTGCTTCTAGTTAAAAGATCTTTATAAATTTCCTTATATGGTGCTAAGCACTTATGGAATAAGGGAAAAACATCTGGCAACACCAGAAGCAGAAGCGTCGAGAT